GCCTCTGTAGTCTGAGGGGGTCTGCAAAAAAGAGAACAAAAATATCCATCGGCAGGGCTGTCCCATAGGACACATTCCTGGGTCCTCTGGGACAGCCCATGTCCTCAACGCATATAAATATGCGTTTAGGACGTAAGTTGGGCGTGCAGGCCTGCACGCCAATCTCCCCTGCAGCAGATTGGCGTGCAAGGCCGCACGCCAAAATTCTTTGGCGTGTGGGCCTGTACGCCAATCTGCGCCTGGCGTGCGCCATGGGGGTTGGTGTGCGCTTATCAACCCCCGTGTTCTCACTTGTTGTATATAAAGATCAGAAAAAATCTAGAAGCATATTGTGAACAATGGAATTTATCCCAGGGATACTGATGGAATTTCGACCAAAGACATGGAGAATTTCAGAGAAAAAGTTTTGGGCAACAAAAAACAAGCTTTGTTGGAGTGGCTCAAGGGTTGGAAAAAGAGAGAGAGAGAGCCAATGATTTCCATTTGCTAGTAGAGCCTATGTTTTAAATAGACTACATACAACAAGTTCAATTTGTGGTTGAGAAAAATTAAATATCAAAATGAATAACAAAGATTAACATATGCTGGAAAGGATTAATGGGGTAAATAACAGTTGATAAAGACAAGACCAGGGGTTGAAGACTACAAGGATTTCAGCACTAGAAAACATGACAAGATACCACACAAAAAAACCAACTAAACAATGCAATAATCACATGTAATATTTATCTAATCATTTACTAATTTAAAGTTGAAATAGATGAGTTTTTTTGGGATGAGAAGAAAAGAGACAAAATTCCAACAGATACAATGCAAACTTGAGTTGGGGTATGGGGAGTGACCCTTGTTCTCAAACCCCACGCCAGTGGCCATGGGGAGGAAGGAAGGAAAAAAAGGCAGAGGCTGGAAATTTTTGGGACTGATGATTTGAATTTTCAGATTTTATTTTCCTCAAATTTTCATATCATCACCAAAGGCAAGTTTTTGGCCTAAAACTGGAGAATTTCAACAAAACATCTTTCCACTTTTTTCAATTTTTGTGTGAAAGGCATAAAAAATTACCATTTTTCAAAATCCAATCTCACAGTACATCCCCTTAATGGAGGGTAGTTTTCTTTTCATTTCAGATCAAACAAAATAAAGAAAAAAAAACAAATTCAATGAAAAAAGGCCCATCAAAAAACTGAAACCATTCCTTTAAGCAAAGTGATGGCTCCAGTGATCTTGGCTAGAGAGATGATTGCTGCCAAGAAACAACTTGGTTCCCTTTTGGAAAAGACTGCTTGGATTCTGAACTAATGGAAGGAGCTGAAAGCTAGTGTCACTGTCAACACATATACATTGGTAGGGAGCATTTCAACATATGCATTGGGAGGGAGCACTTCAACATATGCATTGGTAGGGAGCATTTCAGTCAGTGAATATTGGCCACACAAAGATGATTCATACCAACCAATTTGGCATCCAATTCAACGTTTTTTTGGTCCCTACCAAGTTTTTGCTACCCAATTTCAACTTAACCACTACAAGAACAAGTAAAGCAACCATCATCAGTTGACATGCAGCAAGCTTCAATCAAACCTCAATCCAAGCTCATTTCATTATGCTGATGTAATTTGGTGGTACAACCTGAGACTTCAAAGGGGTGGACCAGAACAAGGTAGAAAAAAATTGTGAGCTCAACTCAAGCTCAGTGCAGAGTATGGTCTGAGCTCTTGCATGTCAACTGAAACCAGTTGCTTGACTTTTTCTTGTAGTGAACATATCTTCAGAGCAGGGAATTTGGAAGCGGAATGTGGATGCAATATTTCCCCTCATTCTGTGTCAATTTTGATAGCTAGGAAGCCTTTAATGTATTTAGAGCCCAAGAATCCGCCAGCATCTTCACCACCAAAGATTCTTGGTCTTGATTTGCACTTGCTCAACTAAGACTGCTGATGGTAATGGGGAAGCATTGCACTTTTCACTCAAGAAATTCACCACCTGCAACAAGCCCCTGAAATTCAAGTGAGGGACTTGTGTTAACTCAGATATTTGCACAGCTAGCAGCCAACAGCAGGACCAAAAAACCACCAAAGAATTGGTCCTCAGACCCTTGGATATGTTCCAAAAGATAGATGCTGAAAACCTACCTGATTTATGCAAGTACAATATTAGAGTGGTTTTGGTGCCAAGGGAATTTCCTCAGACCAGCCACACCATCCTCTGATCCCTGGCCAAGAATCAATCACTATACATATACATGTATCAATGAATGACTAGAAAATTGAACAATCTGAAGGAGGATCTCACCATGTTCAACCCAAGCTTCATTCACCAGAAACAAAGACAGTAACCTCAGGCCATTCTTTGACTATAGTAAGCTTAATTTAGAAACTGTGAAGAAGCAATACCTGTCACTATTGAAAGTGGATTGAGTTGTACCACACATCAAAAACTTCACCAAACTTTATTCACAGAATTATTATGGAAAATGAAAGTTAGCAGAGGTAAATGAAGATAAAATTACATTTATCTCACAAGAAGTGTGGTTTGTGCTTCTACAAATGTCATTTAGACTCATGGTAAAACCACTTTGCTTCCTGTAATCCATGTAAGACACCCTCTTGATCTGTATAGGTAAGGACTTGTGGGCATACTTTGATTATGCTACTGCTGCTTCATAAACCAATTCTCTGGCACAGGGATGGCAGGTGAAATTCTGTGTTTGAAGCTTTTTAAGACAGCATTCACAACAGTTGCTGTAGTGTACTCAAACTGGCTAAACCCCACAAGCCAATTGTATTGGAATGTGATTGTTTTATTTTTTTGCTAGGTGGTTTATTATTGTAGATTTTATTTTTTCTGTGGCATTCTGTAGACTTTTCTGTGGGAATGCCAGCTCAGCTAAGCCCAGTGGGGCAATCATCTCAATTGCTGGTTCAAGCCCAAAAGAAACAACAAATCTTCAAAAAGATAACTGTTTTTTTATTGTGGCATCTTTCAAGGAGTGGCAAAATCACTCTGAGGGAATTCTTAACAGGCTGAAGGGAATTTTTTACACCACAGACTGGTGATCTGGATGACCACTAATCAGCTTCCTTAGGAAGAAATAACATTTGGAAGACACCATGATTCCTTTTTCATTTTAAAATCATATTTTTACCTGGATTCCAATCAAAAAACCCAGACACCATTTCTAGAAGAACAAAGTTGGCCCTACCAAGATACATGGGCCGACTGTTCCATCCAGAAACCTTTGGAGAGGTTGCAACGTTTGATGCATGGTTTCAAGATGAATCCATTGGCTTGTACAACACTGATTAGGTTGAGGTGAATGCTGTTGTCTAGTGAGTTTATTCTTCGACCAAATCAACCGCAAGCTCAATCCCAGATTTGTTCAAAAATCAGACCCTCTATCAAAGCACATCATATAAGCAAGGTTACTTGGGTGAATTCTTGGCCCCTGAGACGGTGAAGCTGGAGCATGGATATGCTAGGATCAGTGCAGACATGGAGCCCCTTCAATGGACTGGTGGCTTCTAAAACGTCTTCCTCAAGTGCTTTTTTTTCCAATTGGAGGAGGCTGGAGCTGCTGGCAGGGTGGTTGATAATCGCAAGCCAACCCCCCTTGCGCACGCCAATCTGCACGCCACTTGCAGATTGGCGTGCAGGCCCACACGCCAAAGCGGATTGGCGTGCAGGCCTGCACCCAATCTGCAGCAAGGTTGATTGGCGTGCAGGTCCTAAACCCATATTAAT